AATAGAATGTTTTTCATCATAGCACAAAAATGTATCTGTTTTGTTTATTATGGAATCTTTAGTACATAGAAGAGTGCTTGAAACACAGGTGTTCAATTACTGTTTCTTGAATTAAATGGATTGATGAATTACAAAATATAGCAAGTGTCAGAAAGGAAAAGTCCTGAGGGCTATTAGACTGAGGAGTTAATCTAAATCAAAGTATCATTATATTACGGTTTCTTTGAGGATGTGCTACTTAAGATGAGACTGAGAAAAAGACAAAGAAATGGCCAAATGAGCGGCATCAATATTTATGGATTGTGTGTTACCGACTAGCCTTTGCTTTACAGAAGTGATGCAAGCAAAGAAGTCACCACCTTCAAGGAGCTGCATTCTTGGGGTAGAAAGATCCTAATCAAATGTGCACATACTCTTACAAACATAATATAATACCAGATCGTATACATTCTAAATATATTTAGTATATACAATTTATAAAACAGAACTGGCAGTTGGGCTAGAAATACAGAGAGTTTCCAAAAATTCAATATGTTCCATTACACAGATATAAAGCATCTGCTTTAGAAGGACAGACGAGTATATGTAACCATAATTTATGACCATTTAGAACAATCCCTGGCACCACATAGCACCCAAAATGTCATCCCTCATTACTGGACATTCCTGTAAGGCAGATTAGTATGCAGTGAATAATCAATAAAGCCTTTTTATAAAAATGACCCTCAAACGTAATCAGAAAGAATGAAAATGAATTAGGCAGATGATGAAGAGGGAAGGGTCTCCTAGAGTAAGGGCATAGTATATGACAAGACAAAAATGTGAGATTTGAGCCATTATTTTAGGAGCCTATGTCATTCTCTCTTGACTTAGAGTTTTGGTTATCAGAAGAAAAGTGTATCAGAAGAGGTGAAACATGTCTTAAAATGACCCTTTGCTCTGGAGAAGCAAATTATTAGGGTAACATTGAGGTTATGGCGAGGCCCTCAGTCTCCACTAATCCCCTGAATCCTCTCCATGTGCCCATTTTCCAAATTCACTATTCTGTGCCAGGCGCTGTATTAGGGGCTGAAGTGAACAACTGGACTTAACACCTACCCTCAATGAGATAACAATATAGGTAACTTTTTTTTTGAGTAATTTCTGTTATCCAGGTATGGACTCAATTGATCTTCTATTCAATCCTTAAAACAACTCCATAAACTAAGTAGACTTTTTATCCTCTTTCACCTAGATGAAGAAACTAAGGCACAAAGTCATAAGTTTTGGCCACCATTGTATTCCTAAAGCTAGGCTTGGTGCTGGGCATCAGTTTCTTCATAAACAGTACTGAATACATTAACTAGCAATGGACAGATGAGTCGTGCAGAGACCTTGCTTTGCTGGGGCCAGAGTTGCACACACTTGATCAGGTTTCTGTCTCCCTGTTCATTTTGTGAAATGACGGGAGGGCAATGGTTCTCCAACTCTGAACTTTCAAATGCATGACCATGTCCAGAGGTTCTTACTAGAAATTCTAATTCATAGTGAAGCCCATAAATCTGCATTTTAATAGATACTCCCAAGCATTTAATTCAAAGATGGTTCATGATTTTGAGGAAAAAAGAAAATTGCTATGTACTATGGGTTCACGGTCATTACAACCTGATTTAAGACAAGCATATAATGATTGTGGGTAGCCAGTCAAAAGAAGGAGAACAGTAACATCAATGACAGTGTAAGCAAATCACCAGCTGCAAAGGACCGTAATTACCTATCTGCTTCAGTCAGATTGCAGGGCTTCTAATACATGGCATTGTTGTCGTTTTGAGCTCAATTCTTTGCTAGGGAAGACTTTCCTTTGCTTTCCAGAATCCAAAGCAGCATCTCCAGGCTCTACCTTCTAGATACCAGGAGCTCACTCTGACTCTCAGGTTGTGACAACAGAAAATATCTCCAGACATTGACAAAGGCTCCGTGGGGTCAAACTGGGTCCAGTTGAGAACCACCGCCTTTAGGAAAGACAGAGCTTTCTTCAGTTCCTTTCCTGTAGCCACTTTCGTTCTTCTGACATAGAATCCTGCAAAACCCCTGATTTGTTTCCTCATGCGTGTGCCCCTGTTTGTTTGATGAGCACAATGTACCTGAATTGCTTTATTCAGAACCTACTGTATCTATCTTCCTTCACACACATACAGCTGCTTGACAAATCAGATGGGACAGAATGTCAGGTCAACACATGGCTTACATCCAAAGCATCATAGGTTCTGGAGGGCTCAATTCCCTTTACACTGTTTGAAGTGAATAATAATTAACTATGATGGCTCGGTGCCTGTGGCTCAAGTAGGTAAGGCACCAGCCACATACACCTAAGGTGGCAGGTTCAAATCCAGCCCGTGCGCACCAAAACAACAATGACGACTGCAACCAAAAAATAGCCGGGCATTGCGGCAGGTGCCTGTGGTCCCAGCTACTTGGGAGGCTGAGGCAGGAGACTCGCTTGAGCCCGGGAGTTGGAGGTTGCTGTGAGCTGTGATGCAACAGCACTCTGCCCAGGGGGACAGCTTGAGGCTCTGTCTCAAACAAACAAACAAAAAATAATTAACTATGACAGTAGACTATGATCAGTTTCCCAGAAGATATATAGTATAAAAAGAAAACATATATATATATGTACATATATATATATATTTATATAGTAGAACCTCATAGCTGACCACCTCCCATCACTGACACCTCTTTAAGTTGACCCAATGTTCTTCAAGTTGACCCAGACATTTGCCCCCATCCATATCAGTACAGCAGGGCTAGGTCCTTATGTTGACCACCTCTGTATGCTGAGGTGCCTTGGGTAGTCAACTTGCAGAGGTTTTATCTACTGTGTGTGTATGTATAAAAGGAAGAGATGCAGAAATATATGGTCTCATAGATGTGCTTGGTAGAAATGAATGAAACAAGATGGGAAATATTTCATTGTGAAACTGACAAAAATCTAGATTTTGAAAAATACAGGAAATTTTCTTTTATTCCAATTTTTAAAAATCTTTTCTGAGAATTCACAAACCACTTATTGGTACCCAAGGATATGTCCTTCACCTTTCTTCTCCGTTAAATTTCTTGTAACTGCTCTCAGCAAGTTTCTGTCATATATGAAAAGAATAAGAGTGAAACCTGCTTGAGAATTACCAATGGGAGAATGGTCAGCTACGGTTGTATAACATTATTATGTATCATATTCTTATTAACATATGCAAAAAGATTACCGAATTTTAGCAAGATGCAAGGGGTAAGTAGACAATTATTTGTTATCCACAACATACTTCTTGTGAACTAATTCCGAGTTCACTGGCTAAGCAGACCAGGCAATTAGTGTGTGCATTGAATGAAACAGTTAAATGCCTATCCCAAGCTCGTTCCTAATTGAAACCGTAAAAGAGAAAAGGAAAAACAACAAGTGGGGTTTATATGGACATCAGATTTTACGTAAATTTATTCATCTCAAAACCTATATAATAAAACTTTATTTTTATTTACATTATTTGGAATGGGCTACCTGGACTTACTGTTTTGTAGAAGTGAAAAATGTTCCCTAATTAAAATGTAGTGGGAGAAAAAAACCTAGGAGGGTCAATGCGTATTTGCAGAGGAGACTAAAAGGATTGAGGATCTATGAAAGAGGGGAGAAAACGCCAGCCCTGTGTCTTTCGTTATTTAGAGAAAGAAAATAAATTGGTAGCCTTGTTGCCCCATTGGGCTTATTTAAGTGATTTCAGTAGGTCGTGCAACTGTCCCCTCACCGCCATGCACAAGCCCCCTTATTTCTGGCTTGAATGTTTACTGGAGAGAGAAAGCGTCTTAGGTAACTAGGTGGTAAATCGCAGTGCAGCCCCTGATCTGGCCAATTCGAGGTGGTCGTGGGGGTGATTAATGAGACAGCCGAAGACCCCAACCTCCGGCGGCTTCCGCAGGAAGCGCGATTTTAGGGAGGCGAGCAAGCCGAAGATGGCTGGGCAGGCAGAGCCCGCTCCCACCACCGCCGGCGGCTTCCCGTACAGTGGTTCCAGCTGCCAGAGGCTTTCTGGTTGCCATGGCAACTGTCGGGCTCTGCTGCGAACTCCAGGCAGAGCCTCTGAAGTTGGGTCTCCAACACGGGAGCTCAACAAACGCAGAGGCAACTGGGGAGGGAGAAAGGAGCCAGGATCACCCATGGCTGGGATGGTCTTTTCAAAATCAGATTTGAGTTTCTGCATTTGTAAAATGAGATCATTCCTGCCCGGAGTTCTTCATCAGTGTCATGGTCTGGTGCCTGGCGGGAGAAGGGAACTGCTCGTCCTCCGCTCAGGCAGCGGCAGGGGTGTGGGGTTGGAGCCAACGCGGTTCTAGCCGCGCACGGAGCCCGCTGGGGCGTCCACTCGCTGGTGACAGTCACCGTCCTCGGAATGCTCATTTGGGTGGGGGCATCGCGCCGGGGGCTGGGTCTACCAAGACAATAAGACGCCGCCCCACCCTCACAATTACAACGATAATTAACGAAAATTAGCAGAATCCTCGCGAGCCTGGGGAAAACCAATTAGGCATTGCCTGTTTCCCACGGGTCTTTCTGGGAAGACAGACTCAGAATCCAACCGCCGGAGAGGAGAGAGGCAGCGGCGCCGAAACAGAGTCAGACGGGAAGGGAAGCCGGGGAAGGAGGGAGGCAGCTTCTCCCGAGCGAGAGAATTTGTCAGGGCCACTGGAACGTCTCTCCGCGGCTGCCCGGGAGAAGAGGTTTGTTTTCCTTTTAGAAAAACGGAGCCCTTTTCCCTACTGGGCTCAATTTCTAGTAGGGGAAGCCCCGCCTCCCGGGGCGGCCGATTGGCCCGACTCTGCTTAAGATAATTTATGCAAGCATCCTCCCGCTCTGATTGGCTCCCCCGTTCAGTTCCCCCGGGAGTTGCGTCCTACCTGGCTGGGAGGTGTATCGCTTTCCCACACTCTGCCTGCTGTACTCGCCCGGCTGCTGCTGCGGTGGGAGGCAAAGTCCCGGCTTGGAGAATTGAGCCAGTGCAGACAGACAGACAGAAAAAGCGACCCTGATGGGTTCCTGGAAAGCTTTTCTCTTCTCCCCCTTTCTTCTGTGGAATCAAAGTAGAGGGGTGAGATTGATGTTCTTGTTACTGGCCCTGCATTTGGGAAACTGGTGAGTAAATTCAAAGACCTAAAACTATTCTTTGGTATCTACCTCGTCCCTTATTTCCATTTCTTTCTTTTTTTTTTTTAATTCTAAGTTAAGTCATTTACATGTCCCGACCCATGTGCAATATTTACCATCATTTTATATTCTGATTAGATCCGTTCACTTGCATATAGGAAAAAATCAGCTTATTTCTGAAGCATTGAGATTAGTTCAGTTTTTTACTTCAAGCAGAGTATAAAGTCATAAAGCTTTAGTTCCTGGGGAGGGTTGAGGGGGAGTGGAAATGACTTTGCTACTAGATTTAATGAATGAATGTCATTGAAGAACTTTCTGGATGATTCCATATTTCAAAGACAAAGTTATTTCAGAAACTTGTTACAATGCATGCCACAGATAATGCTTTTCTATCAACTAATATTGTTTTTCCCTCCCCTGCTTCTTTGGGTAAGTTGCTGGAACAAATCCATGTTTTACATCAAGAAAAATTATATATCTGGCTAAAAACGTCTATCAGCATTGCAAGTGTGTAATATAAAGACAAAAATGACGTTTATTTTATTTGAAACAGCTTTGAGTGGTTTTTATTTTAATTGGCTGTCCACTAGTAATTAAAGAATGTATGGCGGTATGAGTGTCTTGGCTGTGTGTGTGAGAGAGAGAGAGACTGAGAGACACAGAGGGGAGGGAATGGGAGAGAGGTGAGGGAGAGAGAGAGAGAGAAAGAGAGAGATTACCAGTCACAAACCTTCAGTTTAACAGAAGCAAGACTGGGCTCTAATACCTTTCAGTGAAACTTTAAAATCATTCTAGTAGAAAAACAAAATGCTTCAGTGGCATCTGTGTGTTGTGCATGGGAGTGTTGAGTGTACAGAGTTATAGGTTAAAAATAGACAATATAATGGTCTTAAACACCGTATTCATGTCATGTAACTTGTTTCAAATGAATCGATATTTAACATTATATTGTATTATATAATCCTGCTTAGAACTCAAGAGTAAAGGACACTCATGCAAAGACACAAACATGTCTTAGTAAGTACTTTTGTCATTGCTAAAATGAATTATTATTGTAAATTTTAGCACAAAACTAGACTGAACATCTGCCGTTACCACTAGGTAAAACAATTGTATTTTCTCTCAGAAAATAGAAATTGGATTAAAGTATGATAAGTAATATTAGGCTTGCTAGAAATTTTTTGGCAGTGATTTTTAAAATATTATTACAGTTTTGGTTAATTTGCCATGTGTTCTGCATAGGCACAAACATCCTACGAGATAAATACTTATTGTGCATGTTGCATCATAATGGCTTATTTCTTTGACTATGTTACAAAAATTTACACAAGATATTTAGGAAGAACATGTACCTTCCTAAGAGTATAAAAGTAAAAACAGATTTGCCCAGTGGTTTTCTGAAATAACAACCTGTATGCTTTTTTTTTT